AGTATCACGCAATGTCTGGTGAATTCGCGTAAATACACTTCGAGATGGAATCCTTCGATCGGGAAAACGCCTTTGGTATTCTTCAACAGCAGCACGTGCATTGCGACCGCAAAATCCACACACAAAATGCATATCACAATATTCCACGTGTGAAAACACAAGAGGCATTTCAGCAACTCATCACACAACTAATTTACCACCCATTCACGACCCCGCCGCAACGTAATCTGTAGGCTCTGGTAGGTTGCGCATGAGCTTACGGCTAGTGACTCACAGCACTCAAGGACAAACAGATAAGGGTCTCAGCTGACAGGTACGTATAGTGCGTGGACCTGCAAGAAGACCACACTTTTCTCGGGCCATTATCTCCGTAACCATTCAACTTTGGACATAGGTGTTTTGGGTTATATCGGTATACTTTAACATAAGGAACACCCTCCTGAAGTTTGGTCCATTCCTCCTGGGACACCCTGTATATCAGATTGATGAACTGTGCAGGTATATGCAGCATATTGAAATAGGAATTATGTTGTTTTTTAACATGTTTGTATTTGAACAAAAATTCCTCTTTCATCTGTAGGTCTGTTAGAAAATATTCTGCAAAAGCAGAAGCATAGTGTAACAGCAACACCTCCGCCTTCACCCACGCATGGGCAACCAAATTCTGCATCACCAGTGCACACAGGTGAGTCTGTCATACTGAATAGAAATGAAATTGTGTTTATGCCAGCAATCTGTCAGTTAATGGTGTTCAGGGAAATTATATTTATTCTGAGAATCGTGCAAAATTTGTAAGTATTCTCGATGGGTAAAATGCAGTGTTAAGGCAGGTGATGTATATGGATACATAATTAAACTTGACCTTGAGAACAAAAATTGTCTAATTTGAGGTTCTGAGAACAGGGCTGATGATTCTCCAGGATGTGACACTGTGTAGTCCAGTAGAAGTCGAACAGTGTCTTTGAGGACTGTACTATAGTACGGACGAAGAGCAAGTAAGCAAGCAAGCTTGCTGTTCTTGCTGCTTGGTTCTTAGTAGTTGCTTGGCTTACTCTTTGACCATTATATGGAAGCACTATGTTCCTTCAAATCTCATCCATTTTCTATTGCTTAGGTCGTTTATCCAAGGAATCCATCCAGGTCCAAGGCTTCTTACAAATTTTTGTAACAAGATTATTTTTTACGGTGAGGAGTTGTTAGCCGCACACCCAACTCCCAACCTGGAGGACCATCCCTTGTCAGCTGTCCACAACTGCTAATTCAGTATATTTGCAGCTACCCTCCATACCTGGTACAATCCAAGGGCGCGCCATGCTGTGGTGACACGGGACCTACTAACATGGAAGGAGTCTTATTATTTTACCAGTTCACAAGAAGGGTGGTAAAACTGACTGTAGTAATTATTGTGAGATGTCACTGCTATCAACTTCATACAAAATTTATCCAATATTCTTCTCTCAAGGTTAAGTCCATACATAGATGAAATTATTGGGGATCATCAATGTGGGTTTCGATGTAACAGATCAATTACTGGTCAGATCTTTTGCATTCATTAGCTACTGGAGAAACAATGGGAGTACAGTGAGACAGTACATCAGCTATTCATAGACTTCAAGAAAGCCTATGATTCAGTTAGGAGTGAAATATTGTACAGTATTCTCATAGAGTTTGGGATACCCATGAAACTAGTCAGGCTGATTAAAATGTGTTTAAACTGAATGTATTATATAGTCGATATAGGTAAACATTTGTCTGATAATTTTCATATCCAGAATTGTCTAAAACAAGGAGATAGATGCTTTATCGGCACTGCTTTTCAACTTTCCTTTAGAATATGTCATTGGGAAAGTCCAGTAAAACCAAGTGGGACTGAAATTAAATGGAACATATGAGCTGTTGATCTGTGGTGAAGATATAGATACCATGAGGAGAAACACACAAACTTTAATTGATGCTAGTAAGGATGTTGGTGTAGAAGTAAAGACAGAAAAAGTAAGTATATGTTGCTATCTCGTCACCAAATTGCAAGACAAAATCGGGACATAAAGATAGGTAACAAACATTTAAAAAATGTGGCACAGTTCAGATATTTGGGAATGATGATAACAAATCAAATTCTGATTCAGAAGGAAATTAAGAGGAGATTGAACTCAGGTAATGCTTGCTGACATTCAGTCCAGAACCTTTTTGTTTTCTCGTCTGCTGTCTAAAAACATAAAAATTAGAATGTACAAGACTATAATTTTGTCTGTGGTTTTGTATGGGTATGAAACTTGATCTCTGGCATTAAGGGAGGAACATAGACTGACAGTGTTTGATAATGAGGTGTTGAGGAGAATATTTGGACAGAAGAGAGATGAAGTGACTTGAGGTCGGAGAAAAGTGCATAATGGGGAGCTTCATAACTTGTACTCTTCTCCAAGTATAATTAGAATGATCAAATGAAGGAGGATGAGATGGGCAGGGCATGTAGCATGAATGGGGGGGGGGAGAAGAAGAATGCATATAGGATAATGGTGGGAGAGCCAGAAGGAAAGATACCACTGGGAAAACCAAGACATAGGTGGGTGAACAGTATTAAAATGGATCTTAGAGAGATATGATGGGATAGTGAGGACTGAATTGATCTGGCTCAGGATAGGGACCAGTGGAGGGCTCTTGTGAGCACGTTAATGAACTTTCGGATTTCATAAAATGCTGGAAAGTTCACAATTGGCAGCTTCTCAAGGAGGACTCAGCTCCATTAATGAGTGATGTTCCTTCAAAACGTCAGTGAACTTGTGTCTGCCTCCATAGCATCACATCCCAGAACACAGTACATTTAAAAAAAAAGTGTCCTTCAGTGCAAAGTGTATGTGGAGCAAATTTTATTTACTTGTTACCTTTTTCTGTAGGGTCACTGTTGAGTTCGATGTTGGGTAGTGGGCGAAGCGCAAGTGGTGGACTGGATTCAGATAGTGAAACCATTTGCTGTCTGACCCTAAATGCTCTTACGCATCTCTTCTCTTGGGTGCCATTGTCCTCTTACATCACATCTAACTTGGTAGCTGCATTGTTTCGACTAGCCAGTGTCTCTCAGGTAATTTAATCACTTTTTTAATTTTACAAAGCTAGTGCTTCTTGGTAACAAAATGATGCCTTGAAGCAGTCCGCAATGATGACAAGTCTTGTAATTGTATCATTTTTGAGTTCTGATTCGTATGTAGTCATGTCCTAGGTTAAATGATGTATCCAACAATATTATGGTGTTCCTTATTCCATCCTGCCAATAATATTCCCATAGTGCTTTTTACCCATTTTGTAATTTACAGTGCTCCATAATATGCCATTAACTGTATTGCATGTTCATCTATCAAACTTTTATTTTGAAGTTTGGAACAAATATTACAAATTAAAACTGATACACATACTGGAATTTTCCATTCCATTTTTGGTTAAAGAAACGTTTTGGAAGTTGGGTAGGGATAGAGATTAGTTCCATTTAGTGGACCCAATGGAGTGGGTGTAATATTGTTGCCTGATGACAGAAGTGGAATCAGCTTTTAAACTGTTGTCTTTTTTTAACCAAAAACAAGGCAATGGAAAATGCCTACCATTTAATAATGCTTGCACTAAAATCTTATGGGCAATCAGCCGTCATTGTTTGAAAAGCTCTCCCTAATCTCCATCATCAGGGTTAATGATCACTGTATATCATCGCACAAACTTTATTTCTACAGGTGTGAAACTGACTATATCTGTAGAATTAAAGCTTGTGTGATTGTTAATTTTTTAATTTATTTTAGGGAATATCTCAGGATGAACACCAGAATATAGGAACTCTTGCTATGGGGGCCATTAATGAAATAATGTACAAGAATTGCGTACCCGCTTCATGTGAAGATTTCTTGTTGAACATTTTCCAGCATGCAATGCAACTAATGCAAAGTGTGATACATTCCGGGGTGTTGGAGCATGTAGATAGAAGGTAAGATGGAAGGTACTTAATATTACACATCATGTTAACACATTTGTCACTTGACGGGTTGAAGATTTTGGCTTGCCAGATCCATCGAATGGAAGGCTGTGGTCTCTGTGTACAGTTGCCATTTTCTCCTGCAGGTATCACTCAGATACAGAGAAGCTTTAAGTATAATATGTTGAAGCTTGAAGAAGTTGGTACATACAGTGGTTGTCATTTGTTCTTCACTTGTTCTCTTCCATTTCCATTTTGTTCAAAATCCAGTCTTTGTGGAAGAACTGCTGGCCCAACAGGTAAGATTCCAGCACTGGGGCATTGCACAGAACACGTTACCGCACCACCCTTCTTGAGCGATGCTTGAAGGGGTAGTATCAATACTGCTATATATAAAACTTCTGTAGTGGTATCTTTATTCAGAGATTGTGGTTTGCCACATATACATAATGCTGGTGCAAAGGAACATTATTCCACATACGTTTTCAGTTACTGCCATGTTCTGATCAGGCAGTTAGACACAAGAGATTATTGAGTCTTTGGACTTTGTCCATTTTCCAGTATTCTGAGGAGCACAATCTTTTGGAAACTGGATTTTTTCCAACCTCAGGTGAAGGTGTGTAAGGCACCTACTCCTTTTGGTCCATTAGAAAGAGCTGACCTCTGTCCATCACTGAGCCATGGACAATGGGCAGAATCCAAAAACTCAGTAGTCCTAAGTGTTACACACCATTGTCAGAACCTCTTAGAATCGAATTAGTAACAATCATGTTCCATTAAGTAACAACATTTTAATATTTAATAAAGCCTTTACATGTTTTGGGCACAATTGGCCATCATCAGAAGGCAAAGCCAACACTACAAAGGGTGATGGTCAGTAGTAAACTTGTAAAGGCTTTCTGAAGTATTGAATTATTGCACTTGATGGACATTCATGCTTATTAATTTGTTAGAAAGTGCGGCAGCTCAGAATGTTCCTTGGAACTGAGTGAGACACTGTCCTGACTGCAGAGCCTCAGTCCTGAGTGAAGTGTGCTATTTGTGCAGGATGAAGTGGCACAGGACCAGTTTTTTGTTCAAGTTTCTGCAGTTCACCCCTCATAATCATTATTCTGACATTGCTCCATATTAATCTGTCACCACCTCCTGAAATGTGCAGTAGCCCTGACCAGACAGCACATGGACACATCCTCAGTCTTTGAGTTACAAACTTCATCTCTGACCCAATATGTGGTTGGTTACCAAGTAAGGAAATTTAAGGTTTTCGTTTTTAATTATATACCTACTCTCTCCCCCTTCTCCTTCCTGTTGCCCTCTCTTTGGAACATAAGGTATTTGTGAAACACTTTGTTTCACTTCATTTTCTTAATCCTAAGACAGTTGGTAGGGGGTCCTTTGACAGGAGATCAGCCCATCCCAAGGCCACTACCTACACAGGACAGTGCAAACACAGAATAAAAACACACAAACACTCATGCCTTAAGTGGGATTTGAACCCATGATCCCAGTGTTCGAGCGAGCGAAGACAGTTCATGCCTCAGTGTGGCCACTGATCGGCTGTATATCTACATCATCTATAAAAAAAAAGATTTCCAAACTTTGTCACCCTAGGGAAGAACATAGATTGAGACTATTCAATATGAGTTTCTCACATGTGTAACTATGAAGTGTGCTATCTTCTGGGATGTAACACCTTGTAGTCTACTCTGCTTGCTGCCTGCTACTTGATAGTTTCATGCTTGCCTTACCCTGTTGATCCTGAAGATGGAGGCAGTATGTTCCTCAGAAACATCAGTGGACTTCAACTAGGCTACGTAGTGTTACATCCCAGAAATTAGACCTCTACATAGTTAGGAATGTTTGAAAACAAGGTACTGAAGAAGATGTTTGGACCTAAGTTAAAAGAAGTTAATGGTAGAACAGAGAACATTGCATAATGAGGAGCTTCATAATTTGTCTTCTTCACCACATGTTTGTAGCTTCTTAGGAGTTATTTATTTATTTTTGTCTATTTTTTTCTTTCAGTTTTGTAGAAAAGTTAACCGAGTTCCTTCGTCTGTTTGTTGCTCTCCACCTCCATCGTTTAGAGGAAAGCCAGAAGTTTTCACCAGTTCGGGATTTCTTGTCTCTGCTTTTCAAATACACATTCCACACTGCCCTTGAGCAGTTTTATAGGTGTCTGGAAGTGTGGTCAATCTTCTTGGATCACATGCATAATCGTGGAACACCAACAGAAAGGTTAATATACAGTATTCTAGTTATCCATGTATGTGGATTAACCAGTTTGCAGCTTATCTGTGTGCCATTTTAGTAATGTTTGCAACCATGCAGAGTGTCTGTTAAGCTTGCTCAGTACTTCCATTCATACAGCTGTGCACATGAAACAACTTGTGAGAACAGCTGTGTAGATTTTCATGAAATCTGATGTTGGAGAATTTTACAGAGAATTGTTGGACCTTTTCAGATTTCATTTATGTCAGACAATTTTAATGACCATGTGATGACAAATGTAATTTCTGGATATGTCGTAAGCGTAAGACCAACATACATTTCTGCATATATCTTGAATGTAAGTCGCTAAATATTTGTTGGAGCAAAGGGTGTTTTTGACAAGTTTTTAACAAAATGAATCACACATCTCATATTCAGTACACATCCATGAGACAGTTTCGGGGGTAACTGAAGATATCGGATGCTGTGCATACATTTCCATATTACTTTTATTCAGCAATCGCCATGGTCTTTGATCACACATGAAACCTGGATATCCATGGTTTTCTTTTTATTATTTATTTGTCTTTACTGTCATTGACATGGATAATTGGGAATGTATTGAACTGCAATTCTGTTACTTTTCAAGGCAGCATATATTGAATGGCCCTTAAATCAGGTGTCTGTTGATAGCCCATAACCAGATAGAAGAAAAATAAAGTTATCATTGCAGTACACCAGGCATGTCCAACGCGTAGATTGCAGGACGATTTTTGGTCAATCTCATAGGCCTATAAGGAAATTATACGTGAAAAGCATGTAAATTCACTTGTAATATAATATGATTATATTCAGATTTTGAAGGAAAAATACGTGTTAAAGTAGTCTGTACTTTCAGTATATGTTACTTTTACAACAAACATCGTGTGTTGTGTTATTTTTACCAGTATTTTTGCTTAAAGCAAGGTATGACGATAGGAGGGGTGTTAGATCACTTGCAGTTTTGACACTAGAAAGACGATCACAATTTGTTGGAAGTTGGACGTGCCTGCAATACACCATATAAAGACATAAGCCACCTCAATGCCAATAGCCTAAATTCACATCTATTTTAAGTACAGAATATCAACCTCTGATCCTGAGATATGTTTCTGTATGCAGTGGGTAGTGAGTGCTGGTTACAGACCTACAAACATATCCTCTGTTGCTTCTTTATTAAAAATTGTTCAAAAAAGAATGAAGAAAGCTTTAGTATGATGCATTTATATCTGACTTGTGGAAGAACGTCCCATTTTTTGTAGTGCTAGTCGGGTGGCGCTAAGTCCTTTGTACTGCGGCCACTTCTGGCCTATCGTACGAGCCCCAGATGATAGGTGAGGGTGACTGTAGAGCAATTGGTGGAATGAAGATTGGCAGGGGAAACCGAAGTACTCGGAGAAAACCTGCCCCAGCCCCACGTCCACTACAAATCCCACTTGACCGGTCCCGGGATCGAACCCGGGCCACCATGGTGAAATTGAGAACATCCCATAATGCTGTTAAAGTATAATCTGTGGTTCATATTTATTTTATAATAATCTTTAACAATATGTAATATGGTAGTCACCAGCATTTGAGAGGAGCCTTCTGCCTCCATCTTCATAGTATAACTCACTCATCTACCCTGAAGATGGAGGTAGCATGATCCTCTGGAACACTGATAATGATCTACCAGATTGCATACTGTCACATCTACGAAAACAAAAATATTGAATGATACAAGTTCAGGCAGTGATATTAATGATTCCAGGTACCAAGATGCACTTATTTTATTAGTGCAAGAGATTTTGGTGAAAATGCAGTTCAAGCACAATCGAGGTCCACTTGAAGAACTGGATGATGAATTGTTAGATGATGATGTAAGTCATTAATCTCATTTACAGTTTATTCACTTAATCCTTGCCTCCAAGAACTCTGGCCTCCTTCACAACAGATGTCCACTTAATTTATGGTTTATCTATCATTTATTTCCTTCTTTTGGGCTATTAGTTATTTTAAGTTAAGTCTAGTGAAGATACTGAAAAGTTAGAAGCCTTGCTGCTTGTCACGAAGTTGCCCCACAGACCACTTCCAACATGTCTGCCATTTACAGTGTTCAAAGTAGACCAAACCATATTTCAACAAATCTCTCGTCCTGAAAGCATGCAAGAAGGCTGTTTTGAATGACATATATTGACTGGTTTTCCTCTGCATGTGGCCTGAAAAGGACTCTTATAATTCTAAGCTTAACACTTAAAGATAGTATGTACTAGGGGCGTTCAAAAATGATTGATACTAAATGTTTTTTCTTCACAGTAACCATTTATTGGTACAAAATACATACAGATTAGATTAGAGGTATTCCCTGCTAATGTCTGTGAACCTTTGCTATCGTTCCGGCAGTTTCTATATTTGCACAGCAAACCATTCTTTGGGGGTATCCCAGCGCCACTGCTGGACAATTGCGTGAAGCTCATCGTTGGAGGTGAACGTCTTACCCCTCATGATGCCTTTCATTGCATTGAATAGAGCATAGTTGCTAGGGGCAAGACTGGGTGAGTATGGGGGATGAGGCAGCACCCAGGGTGGCAATGGTCTGCCGACTGCCATGTGGCCGCGCATTGTCATGTTGGAGAAGAACGCCACTCCCCCATTTTCCGTGGCAGCATTGCTGAATGTGTCGGTGGTGTTGGCGCTTGAATTGCAGTACTGATCACTGTCGATGGTCGTATTTGGGTCAGTCAATCCAACAGAAGGATCCCCTCCTGATCCTAGAACATAGTTGCCATTTGCTTCCAGACGAATAGTCCCGGTCATGACTTCTTGGGAGGAGGGCTCCCAGCGTGCTTCCACTCCATGGACTGACGTTTCTTTTTTGGATTCTTGTGCCAGAACCACAACTCATCGACAGTGACTAGACCCGCAAAGAACTCCACTGGATCTATGCTATACAGCTGCAGCAACTGTTGGCATGTCTCCACACGCTTCTGCTTCTGCACAATGGTGGAAGAATGGGGCACCCAATGAGCACAGACCTTTTTCATCTTCAAGTCCTGATGAATGATGGTGTGCAATATTTCGTGTGACAAACCTGTTGCATTCTCTAGTTCATCAAAAGTGATGCGCCTGTTCTCCAGTATCAAGTTGGACGTGCGCTGGGTACTGTCTGGTGTGCATGCTATTGCTGGACGCCCATTGCTTTTGCCACTTTCTGCACAGTCCTTGCCGTTTTGAACTCTGCTATCCAACGAAACATGGTTCTGCAGCTTGGTGCTGCATCCCCACATCTCGTGTGAATGTGTGAAGCAGCCGCTCCTTCCCCCCAGAGAAACCACAGTCACCATTACCTGTGATTGTCTGCTTCCATGTTGTCTGAGCGTTGTCCATGACTGCACCAACACACCGCCATGAATGACGCAGCACTGTTTGACCTGTGCACAGTATCAATGTCATCTCGTGGCCATAGGTGGCACTATATCTTCCCACATACACTGGCTCTCATTTGACACTGCTACTTTTCCGGAGTTATGGAGGGAGTGTCAGTCATTTTTAAATTACCTAAATATAATAATATAATTCACTGATATCACTTCTAAATTTGTATCATCTGTCTGAGAACTGCTAAAGAAGTCTTTCACTTAGTCCACATCAGTTTGTGTTCACAGTTATATTAAACATAAACATGCAACAGTAAAAGACCTTTTTTTTTTTTGCCTTGTTTGATAAGTAGGAGAAAGAATCTTGTGTTTTGATGTATGTTATATGTGCAGCACTTATTTCCCTAAACATCTTTACTGGATTGTTCTTGTAACCTAGATGCACTGTATTTTATGAGAGATAATAACTGAATATTTATATATTATTTAGATGAACTTCATGCTTCAGACGTTTAAATCAGAAATATTTTCACATATCCTGGTAACACAACAAGAAATTAATGGGTTTCAGATTAGATGAAGCTATTTATTGGATAAGTTGTTTATAATTGCAATTACAATCACTCGGGAATAACATCTTCTAGGTGATGCCACCGGGCTAGTCTGTTGTCCTCTGGTTCTTAGCTGAGCTGCTTTCTTCTGCTCTCAGTTCTGCTTCTTTCACCTCTGTTCTGGTCTCTTCGCTCCTGTTCTCCCATCAGATGGACTAGAAGACACCTTCAAGAGTTCCATTTCACATGTTCTATGCACTGGTTGCTGGTGTATTCATTGCCATGGTAACTACACTAGTTCTGGCTTTCACTTCCCTGGTAATGGTCTGTTATGTGTACACTGTCCTGGAAGCGTGCATGAATGGTTGCCTAGCAAAATGGATATCTCCCTGTCTGGCTGCACTTCTCTGGCTTTTAGGCATTGTTTACCGAGCGTTGCTTAGCAGTGGTCCATTCCAGCTTGCTGTCGTGGCCACTTGTTTTAAGAAGCCGTTGTCTAGCAATGGACGCCTGATTTGTTCAGATATTCTGGCTTCGCGGTGACACACCACAATATAAGTAGTTACATAGAGTTTATTCTGTTTTCTTTCCTTTCTGATACAGGGAAACACCAATTTAAGATTCTTGTGGGGAGCAGTGAATTTGAAGAAAATTTTAAATGGAGGAGATTTAAAACTAAGATTGTTGACTTGAGATCATTGAAACTGAACGTTAAATGAGGGTAAATCTTACACTGAGGAATGTTAGAAGAGAAATGCCACTCTGTAAAGGGTTCTGATGATGGTGTATCACATTTGAGAGTTTGGCCATCATATGAGTCTTTTCTCATCCCCTCCCATTGACAGTACCTGATCATAGGAGTTTACATAGTTGTAATTGATTTATTTACATTGTCCTGTGATTAAGATAAGCTTTTTATATACACAGTTCTAACCTGAGCATGGAAAGCGATCCAGTTTTTTTTAAATGTTATGTTCTTTCAGGGTATTTAAATGATGGAAAATATCCAAAAACTTAAAATTTCAAGGGGTTTGCGCTATATAACATGTTTTGTTTGCTTTCTGCAGGAACAAACAGAATGGCAACATTACTTGAGACAGTGTATTGAGATTGTAGCTAAGGTAGCAGAGCTTGCCCCAATGGAAACATACAGTCTGATGGTGAGTGAGTTCATTTTATCATTGGGTTTCAGTAGTTGTGGGTGTAGCCTGAAGCATTTACAAGATTTTATGGAAATTGTGCTGTTGCAATGTTTATGTGTTCTATTCAAAGAGCACCATCTAATAACACGTATAGTTTAATCAGTAAATGATAATGAACAGTACCTCCTTCAGTGTTGTAACGCTATGTAGTTCAGGGAAAGCCTGATGTGTCAGAGGAACATGTCATCATCTTCAGGCTCCAGCTTCTAGCTTGTTTCTTGCTTGGCTCTGGCCCTGAAGTTGGAGGTGTTATGTTCCTCAGAAGCGTTTGGTTTTCTCTGAACTACACAGTGGTATAACCCAGAAGACTCTGCTCTTCACAGTCATCACCCTTGGAACCTGAAATCCAGCATAATAAATGTTAATATTTTGTAATTAACGTTTCACTCTTAAAACTACAATATGCTGAGATCAGAAACATTAAAAATAATCTGAAAAGAAAATTTGAATGATTCACAATTTCTACACACATCCACCATAATGACAGAATCAGCTCAGTGAGAGTTGGTATCTACACCAGCAAGCCACCCCAATGCAACACCCATACATTAACAGTGCGTCGGTATGTATGCACACAGACCACCGTAATTTACCTTATTACCAAGGCCCGGATTTTGATGGCTTAAAAATATTTTAAAAATCCAGAAAAATTACCTATAAAATGACTGAAAATCCAGAAGAACTACCTAAAAGTTTGTGACGTCGGCTCATGTTCATGGTCTGTGTGTGCACTTCTCCCCTCTACTGTCTTTCCCCCTCTCTCCTTCCTTGCCGAGCCGGCTTAGCGGCCTATGGAGTGGAGCTAAGGGCTCTTGACTTCCCAACCGTCGAAGGGGTAGGTTGTTTCCATTTTGGACCACCGGTCGAAGCCATCCTCGACTGTCCAAATTTATTTCTCTACATGGCATTCAAATTCAGAAAAGCGAACTCTGCAATCATTTTGTAACAGGTATTTGCATCATGTTTTGTATTCTTTCTTTATTTATATATTATATTTATTCTTTGTTGTTAGTTGATTTGGTTATTTGTTTGGGGTATTTCTCCCTTGCTCATTTCTTTGGCCTCCTCTGCTCGTCTTATCCTGTGATCACGAGAACCTATACGGACCCCGAAGGATCCTACACTTCAAGTTAAAAAAGAATGGAAAATCTACTAATTGTTTTAAAATGTATTTTTAATCATTATTAACGCTGTGAACTCATTGTTACTCTTTTAAGTTCGTTCTCATTTTTATGTTGAAAATTAAGTAAAATAGGATTGAATTTGAAGCTAAATGTTTGAATACGATTTTTTCTACCGTGTTGGAACGCTTATCAAATGTACATATACGGTATATATTCCAGTATTTAAGTGTCACCTCATTCAGAGTTGCAATAGATGACAACTCACGGAGATTCTTGAAGGTGAGCGAGTGCCTATTGTCTGACAGCACATTCTTGCATACTTGGAGAAACTCCTTTCCACATCTGCAGACACAATGGGAGCGTACTTGAAGTGTACCAAATCACTAGCAGTAAGTTCATCTTCAATACTGAAAGTGCTGAAGGACTCTCCTGTCAGAATCTGAGAAATGTTGCATAATGTTTCATAACCTGAGTTTTTATCTACAACATTTTTCGTTTTTCTTGACACCATTTTGTCAGTGTCCCCTGACACTTTCTTCAAATCGCTGGCTATTTTTTTCACCCTAGTGAGCGAATCTTCTAGGGTTGCTCCTTTCTCCTGTAAGCATTTGATTCCTTCTGTCAAGGAACTGGAATTTGCCTTTATGAAGGCCAGCTGTCCTTCCATTTTGCTGCACAAGAACTGTTCCTGAGCAGCTTCTGTCTTCTTTGCATATACAATGTTTTTACTGTCTTAAAATGATAGCAATAGTAAATTGTAGCATCAGTCCACATTCCCCACCTTGTGATGATGGGTTCAGGGTGCAGTGAAACACCAGGAGCCATAGATTTAAATTGCATTTTACCAACTGGAGCCTTGACAAAAATCTTTTTCATCCACGACATGAGAGCATCCACTTGATGAAATCTTGATCTCACTTCCTCTGTCACTCTATGCAGTGCATGTTATAGGCAAGTAACCTGCACCATTTTTATATAAAACGACTTTATTAACTTGCCTGCTTTTAAAATACATGGGGCCGCATTGGTCAAAAGAAGCAAGATGACAACGTGTCGTATACCCTCCGGCCACAGTAGAAACATCGACCTGTTAAAGATTTTACAAATTGTGGAATGATTAACAGATTCTAGCACCTCACTTGTAAGCAGAAACACTTCACCAGGTCCATCAATTTCCAAGGTTCCAATGATGACATTTGCCATGTAGCAACCCTCCGTATCGCAGGTCTCATAAATAGAAAGAAAATCTTCTTCCCATGCACTTTATTTCTAATCATGTCCAGGATATTGTTGTATCACTTGGAAAGGTAGATTTTCCTGCGGGTGGATTCATCCGGGAAAGAACGATCACAATTCGCTTCCAGAAAATTTTCAGTTTCTCATTGTTCAGAGCCAAAAATGGAATATTTGCAAACATCAGAGCATCACACAGATCTGTGAAGAAATCTGATGACCTATTTCTGCCTTCAGATGAACACTGTGCAGTAACATTTGCACAGATTTCTTTTTGTTTGAAATTTGCACTGCTCGTATATGCTTGTTGCGGCCGATATGTTGTGGTACCTTGAAACATTTTTCTGCCACTAATATTGGGTCACACATCTTACAGTATAAAATGTTACCATCAGTTGAAAATATATCATCTCCAAATTCAGCTACAATGTGCTTTGAATGACACGATTTAGATGGCTTTGCTTTAGGCATCGTGATAAAATGAATCACTCTAGTGCAACACAGAACTGAACTTTTCACACTGAGAACCTTTCGTCAACTGTAACTGTGTCTGTCCGATCAAGGACAATTTCCGCAAAACGAACAGAAAGGACAGGACATTATTACAACTTATCATTGCATACTGTGGTAGTAGGTATTTGGGATGCAGCTGCAGGCTGCCTCTACAAAAGAGAAAGAACACTTTACTTGCATATTATTCACATTTCTGAAAACATATGAAGAAAAATTCCCTAAAATGGCTAAAATGACAAAAAATACCCTTAAAGTCCAAAAATTTACCAAAAAATTACCCCAAAACTGAGTAAATGACCTAAAAACTTAAAGATGATGTAAAATGACAAAAAATGACCTATAAAAGTTACATTTCTGTAACCAGTAGCTCGTCTCCGGGATTTATATATTTATGGGCATCGAATAGGGTACAAGGAAAAAAAAGATGACATGTCATCAAAATCTGGGCCCTACTTATTACTTTGAACATAAGGTGCACATTTTACAGATTTTTTCCCATTGAAAGATTGAAATGTGTCTTAAATTTGAGAAATTATTTTCCTAAAACACACATTCAAAAACTGGATGCATCTTAAATTTGAGGGCATCTTATATTCAAAGTAATGTGATACATTGTGACATTAAAACTGAACATAGAGCCATCACTAGGCTACAGCACAGTAAACAACTCATCAGCATAACAAAGATTGCACATGCAATGAGAAAGGTGTTTCCTATGCAGTTCTCATGAATAGCAACGTCACCTGACAATAGAAGAACTGTTGGAAGCTATGTTTTCTGTGCAGTCCATGCTGAGGGTATATAACAATGACCAGCTGTCATCACAAGATAGTCTTGAGGCAGTAGTTAGAAGAGTAGGAGGTTGAGATGGCTGCCAGCCTGCAAGGATGTGAGCCCAGGTGCAGAGGAATGTCTGCTCTTCGAAGCTGTTACTAAGCAGTGTGACTGAGAACACTAGTCTTTGAGTGATAGTGACTTGTAAAGGGTAGTCATGAGTTGTGTGTTAAAGTGTCCAGTAAATCCAAACCTGTCTGTAGTCACTCGATCATGTGAGAATATGATACACGTGTAATTGCACAGAACACAGTATGTGCAGCTCAACAGGATCCATCATTTTAGTGAACACATCTTTAATGAATTTTTAATGAATGTGTATGGAATATTTAAAAATTAACATTCCAGTGAAACAGTTTTGGCAGAATTGATATGTACCTGATGACTGTGTACAGCCAGAACATGTTGTAGCAGCATATATGAGACAAGAATAAATGTTGCATATGAGACTGTAATACATGGTACACAAAACTGGTATTCATTCCTCCACTGATCCATTAAGTATGGCTTTCATTGTGATGGGAATGTTTTCATTCCTGATTATGGTTATATGACAGATGCTAATGTTCTGCTTTCTGGTTTAACTGATTTTGTTTTTACAGTATGATCCATGGAAAGAAGCATCTGCTGTTTACTTACATCTTGAACGAGCTATTGAACCTCATGAGAGTACTGATTACAGTAGGCGTTTGACAGTGACTGAAGCACATGAGTGTATGAGGCTTCACTGCCTCCTGAGGGATTTATCATCACTCACACAGGCTGTGGGGAGAATGTACCCACACTTTATAGGTATGTGAGCCAGAATCGTTGAATTTATTTTTGTTTTTATTTTATCCTTGTAACACTTTTGATGGCTATATTGTACTAAAATTTGGTCCTTATGAAGTACATTATAGCTGGGACTAATTGTAATCCATTGACAGATCTAAATGGATTTCCATTTTATGGATGTAAGTGTTATAACATTAGTCTTGCATCACAGAATTAGTCTGACATACATGTAATGAGTGTGTCATAAATTCATGTTAATTATAATGCAGGACAGCCATTCAGTACCCGTTTTCCACATGCCCAGCAACTTGTGTCAAGATTATCAGTTATGGCAACATATGGAACTCGGCTGAGACCGTACCATCTGCAAGTATCAAATCCAGTGCTTACTACTGATCTTATTGAGGTGTAAGTATATGATTTATCTGCAATTCTATAATATCATTAGCCATAGATTGTAAAGGTAGAGTTGTATTTGTGCTCAGTTAAAGATGTATTCTTAATATTAACACCAGCTGCTTTACCCCCAAGGAGAGAGACCTAGAGACTCATTGGATCAGAGGCTGAATGTGTTCCAGAGCCAGTCTGGATACATTAGAGAAGAGAAGAGTCTCTTGCATCCCCTAGAAATTGAACCACTATGCCTTAGCCATCCAGCTCTGTTGGTTTACTCATTGAGTTATTCTAGCTCCACAGATGTTGCATCTTATTACCACATTTGATGTCTGCTGCAGTGAAGAAGGAAAGTGAGGCATATAATATGTAATGTCTTGTTTCTTGTGATACGGGTATATGTACAGGATGTGCATAGATGATTGATACACTTTTAACTTGTATCAAGGTAAGTATTACAGCTATACGTTTGTAACTAGTGCCGTTTGAATGATAAACTCTGAAAGTTTTACATAGTCTAAAAATGCTCAATGTGAGCTCAATTCATGACCTGACAAATGTCCAATCTGTAATCCAGCTCATCCCATACTCTTTGTAACGTTTTCTGCCTATTGTCATGATAGCTGCGGCAATTGAACTTCAGTTCATCAATATCCAGTGGTAGAGGTGGCACCAGCACTTTTTCTTTTACATAATTCCACAGAAAGAAGTTTCGTGGCCCACTAAACACCGCTGAACAAATTTGTTTTTGCATACTCGATCATACAAAAGTTCTTCTTTCTGAGAGATGTCATTTCTGATAATTGTGGAGCCTGGAGGAAAAGATAGGTCATATGGGGATACACCGCCAATTTTGAAATCTGAGAATTTGACTTTCCGCTGATACCGGTTATCTGTGGGTATGCTTTGCAGTTTCCTCATATTTTATCCCAAAAAGTGTGTCATTCATTTACAGACACACTGTAGACTATGTTATAAAGTTGATATATGATAGATGAGTTCTGTACTATAGTAATTTAGGCAAGATGCCAGAGCATAGAGGACCAGGGAGTCACACTTTGGCACTCCAATGAAGTACTACTTATATTTCAGTCATGCACAGGTCCTAGCTGCCCTTAAAGCTTGGTGTCACTGGCTTGCACAGCTTCATACAGAGGACACGATGAAACCACTGTATGATCACCTTGTGTCAGATATGGTGAATTCTTCAGTGCCATTACTGGCGAGGAGAGGGGAACCTTCCAAGTTGTGCCATTCCGCTGCTCATCTTCTAGTCACGCTGACTGGAACTGTACGTCCTCCACGTATTTGGGAACTTCAACCTATTAGGGACATGTATCACGTGGCTGCATCCCTTACGTATCTGTTGCCTGAGGTATGCATTTCATTACATAACTTTACTTTCATGTACATAATAGTTCAATATTAGAATGTGATACAATATGACTTGAACAGAAACTTCATTAGAATTTTCTGTAAAAGTTAAATAGTTCCGTCCAGTGCAACTGGTTAAGATTTTCTTATTTCAGTTATTCATGCCCTTACATTTTGTGTGTTTGGAACTTTGTCATGTCTGGCCTTGATTTTATTCTATGTCCCATTGGCTTAACATCAGCTCATTGCATTGGGAGGCTGAAACATCATCTTAGCCCAGTTCGACTCTTATTTTTCTGCTAGTATTTTTCCCATTATGAACAGGTTTATAATCATTTTTGTTCAACGTCTGTTAACTAATTTTGAATTCCAACTTATTCTTTAAAATATTTCTTATCCAATTTTATCCCTGTTTTTTTTCCTTTGGTAGTATTGAGAAATGTCATTGGATTTTGCTGCTGTTTCTCTTTGTAAAGGCCCCTGTTTTGAACTGTATGTTAGTATCAGTTTAAACACTATGGATTGTTATTTTGCATTGGTTTGAGATATCTGTGTTCCATATATTCGTTTTATATTTGATAAACTTTAGAACTAGTTCACATTTTTCTGTTTTATCTTTCATGCTTTTGGAACAAAGAAAAACCAGACTCTTTCTAGTAGATAAATGCATTGGCAGTAACATGAATTAATGTAAACTTTCACATTCACTTCTGCCTTCACCCCCAACCCCAAAATATATACTGTGTATTTTTAAGTTTTGTTGGTTGTTCTGTCTTACGTGAGATCTGAGGTTTTCACAGCAGTGAGTATTAAGTAAGCTGGTATGGATCACTTACAACATTGTGGGTATCTGTGGTTTCTCTTATGCAGAAATGTGTGACAGAATACTTGATGGGGGAACCGGACCAGTATTTGTTGACTCCTGACTATACATTATGTTAGTAGAATAGCTTATAATGCTGACATGTCAGGTTCTGATATAACAAATGCGGAAGGTAAGTTTGCATGCTACTTAGCTTCTCTTCCCTCTTGCAGCTCATGATTAACCATGTTGTTTTCTCTGAAGGCACAGCGCTTGGTGCAGTTGGCTTTGTGTAATACGTTACTACAGCCCAGTCCAGGCATGACGGACCAGTTGTGGGATCTGCGTTACAAGCTCTTAGCAAACCTCATAGATTCCTTAACGGCAGACTTCCAGCGCCTAGGACGTTTGTCATCGCTGCCTCCAGAGCAGCATGCTCATCCCGTAATCACATCTACGCTCAAACTTCTTGGTGACTTGGTAAAGCATATGCAATCAGAGAGTTCTCACACCAAGAAGCTTCTATATTCTGTGATACAGGTCAGTGTTCATACTTTGATTATGTTCTTTCCATATCCCTGTCATACCATACCACTGCAAACCAACACATAGACTGCAGTAGAGGATGTTAGTGTCTGCCCAAAACATTGCCTCGCTGCTACAGAGGACACTGATATCTGCTGTCTAATGCCTAGATATATTTTCCTGCAACATTTAAGGAGTGTGTTTGCTCTGTTTTCTACGGACTGCAACAAACATCAGCATCTCAGATAATTCACAGCTGTGTAAAAATTGTATGTTGTAGCATGATGCCCTGGGGCAGAAAGATTTAAAAATCACAAAGGCAGTCAACACATTAATATTATAGCTGTACTATTGATTAACTCTGTTAACAGCAGATTTCTGTTTGCATTAAATGAAAGTAATGATGAATGAAGGATTCTCTTCATCGGTTGCCAGAATCTATAAGCATTAGTCCATATTTATACGAACCTTTCCATGGAACAAGTTATATAGAGTTTTGCAGACCAAGTGTCAGTGAATGTTCATCTGCAAGTAATGGAATAGATTGTCCTGAACTTGTACAAGTTGAGCCAGAAGCAATCAAATGGTCTAACCCTTTGACGTGGTCATTTAAATTCCACAGCCGCGGCTCCTGCGGTAATATATTCAGCCGGCCATTTAAATTTTGCTCGAAAATTATTTATTCATCATTGTTCTTAAATTCTATGAGATAGGAACATGAAACTTTCACTAAAATGATCTTAAATGGTGGTTTTATAACCTTACCTTATAATATGGGCGCCCTGTATCTCGGCCATGGAAGCAGGTTGTTTAGTATTTCAGCAGTGAATGGTACGCCTTGAAGGATGAAACTTTCACTAAAATGATCTTAAATGGTGGTTTTATAACCTTACCTTATAATATGNCATTGGATTTTTCAATTGACCTAATTCTTCCAGCCACACTATGGCCATGGTGTCGACTCAGCCTTTAACAAGAATGAGTACCAGGAATCTTCATGAGGGTAAAGTGTGGCTGGAGCATAAGGCTGACAACTTCACCACCATCTATGAGCCAACTGTCTAGAAAATGTGGGAGCCTCGACATCTCACAACCCTATAGGCCTCTATGGCCTGGTACAGGGATTGCTTTACCTATTTAGGTTGTATATGCTGTATTTAATGAAATAAATGACTCAACATAATTTCACTTTACACAGCTGTATACTGACTCAGCATAAATATGTAAATAACTGACATGTGTATTAATGTAATGACATTGATATAATTTTCCCTTGCCTTTGTCTTGTCTTAAGGAATTATACATTCTAGTTTGATGATTGTAGGGCAGTGTACACCAGACGCTGTCAGTGTTCCCACTGTGTGTGCAGTCACCTGATGTATGTGAAACGATTCTGGACTTCTTCCTGATAGCATTTGCTGGTTTACAGCAGCAGCTTGGTGCTACATTTACTGAGCTGACTGTTCAGACTTTCCTTGGTGTCTTCACCAGGTAATGAGTTTGTTCCAAATATGGCACAAATATAAGGTATCTTCTTCTCTGGCCTTATGGCCCTTAGTTTAGCCTTAGCCTCCATCACATGAGGTATACTTTGTCAAAAACATGTTTGCAGGTACATTATACCTTGAGTAGGTGACTTCATAGGAGAATAGTCTTTCAGGTTCAACGGGAACTTCAGTATGGAGATTTTGAGTCCCATCATATGTTCGAAATAAATTGTAGCTTTCTAGGACAGTTTACATTTACATTTATTTTTAATTCATGGATTCAATCGTCTCCCTATAGGGCTGGATATAAAACATGTCACACATTACAAATTCCTGATGACTACACGTCATACGTCCTAGGTCAAATAAAATATATAATCGGGCCTCATGCAGAAATTAAAAGTTGTCAAGGCAACACACCTAGGCCGTGGAAAAACCACTGTCAAATTCACACCCTGTCATTCCCCACACTGGCCAGCCATATCAATACAGTTTCATTATGATGTATTAAAATTCATAACAAACACAGAAGTCATACATACTGCCACATTTACAGCAAGCAAGTCTCAACAATGTATAACACTAGCACACAGATCCTTTATTCAACTCTTAACTTTTGGGCCTCTTGCATGCTTGTCAAATTTGTCATTAAGGATGTTAAGACACAGAATACCAAGGCAACATACAAACAATCCCATGTGATCTATACAGACTGTCTCTTTCTGTGTTTCTCAGCCTTTACGAACATTAAGAGTCCTTTCTGTCTTCTGGTATATAATGTGTAATTCATTGAAAGTCAACCAAGACTTGCCACTTGCTTCATCCTAGTTTCTTGTTTAACTTATTTTTCAAGCTAGAAGAAGGGGGTGACATATTCTTCCAAAACATTCGTTGACTTTAAGCAAGCTACACAAGTTATCTCCCAAAAGTTAGATTTTTCAAAACCGCGACTGCAAGAACCTCAGCTCATGTACAGAATATTGCTGCCTTTCTTACATTAGCTACTTCATTTTGTTATAAATAATTTGAAAATTACAGATATTATCATGTCATTTATAATACTTTCCAAACACACCTATTATATGTACACTGTATACTTGTACAATCTCATTGAAATATGATTATAAACGCTGTCATACCTCATATTTCCTGTATTTCATTTTTATCACACTTATGTAATATAAAATTCTTGTGAACAAATGTGTGAAATACCGCGTAGCTAATATAAAGAAATCAACATTATTATTGTTATTGTGGAATAGGAATGATAAAAGCGAGAATTTTGCACTTTGGTTTTTATATATCTGTCATCCAGTTTAGAAAATTGTGTTTGTTGCTCACATGCTACTTTTTAATGCTCTAGTGCTGAAAGCAGATCTCTCCACGTTTCTTTACATGTCTTATCTCTTTGGTCTTTGACATGAGGTTTGCTTTGCTTGCTGCATATTACTTGCAGTTACTTGCTTGCCTTAGTCTTTGACACTGAAGATGGAGATGATATGTTTCTCTGAAATGTGGGGAACGTGTACAGGGCTACACAGTGTCACATCCCGGGAGGCAGAAACTGTTCGCAGTAGATTGAGTGCATATTGTAATATTGTTTTAAGAAGTATGTACATCAAGTTTATAAAAACATAACTTTTTTATGTTGTACTTTGGAACTCCAATTTAATATTCTCAATTTTAAGTTTTCCCCACATCTATTATTCTGTTTTAATGATCTCATGTCAGTTATCTTGATGTTATGTCATATTTTTAAGGTTTTCCTGAGTTCATTGTTCATTTACATTACCAAAGAAACTTAAAATGGAAGAGTTTCACTGTGTATTCTCATGTAGAGAACATCTGGCAGAATCACTGGGACAAGAAAGCGGAGCTGGCACACGAGTTGTAGAGAAGTTTCTTCAGTTGTTGCAACTGGTGATGGCAGAACCAAGTGCATCATTCAAACGCTTTGTTCCGAGCACTATCTCACTTTGTCTTGATCATGTTTATCCATTGGTATGTATATTTGTTTTTTACAATTTTTCATAATACATTTTTGTGCCTTTGCAGTGAGGAATTGCAAGTGCTGCTATTATCTTAATCATAGCTAACCATGTTCATCTAACAGCATGAGAACTGCTGAACAGTTTTTAGTGACATGTGATATGGGGGAGTTTTACTAACATTTTAGACACATTTGAGTTTTAATCAAATTGGACAACAATAGTGGATGTTTTACATGAGGACCTGAATGATTACTGAGTGTGTCTCACGTCATTCATAGAGACTGTACCTCAGCAAACCTTGCAGTAGGGTATAGGTTGAAATAAAGGAGCTGTGTACTGGAATATTCAGTGTTGATCTTTTCAGATGGAATCCTTTTTTAGGAATAATTGTATTTGGCAGTTTGTGCCCAGATATCTACACTAAAGTTTACCATGTGAGTGAAAGTTATACGTGGTACAGTCATTAAGTTCGTGGACTGGTTTTATTGCATCATATTACAAGGTATTCACATAAACTTACACAGATCCACATCAGCCCTAAAAATAATTGCTGTTGGCCCTCTGTGCAAGTCTGCCAATGTTGCTATATCTGCCGAAAACATTGCTGAAACATATTTGCAGGAAATTCCTGTATGCCGTCTCTTGTGGCACTGATGACCTCCTCGGATGACTGAAATCTATGACCACATAGCTTTGCTCTGAAGCGGTGAAAGAGAAAGAAATTGCATGGTGCGAGATCAGGTGAGTACGGAGGGTGTGGCAAAACTGTGACCTGTTGCCTTGTCAGTTCCTCTTGGACAAGAACAGAGCGATGTGCAGGGGCATTGTCATGTAGCAACAGCCAATTCTTCCTACACCAAACATTTCGCTAGGGGATTTGTCTAGTTTTGTGCAGAACTTTATGTTTGCGTGTTGTTTGAACTGCCACATTTTTTATTTATGCCACTTGCATTTAACTGCAGTTCACAATAGAGGGTGTAGTTCTGCTTACACTGTTTGCATACAACTGCTTCTTGCTGTGACGAGAGATGAACTGACAGGTCATCATATCGTGCCTCAACCTATCCGCTATAATGCACTGCTATGAAGCTTTGCGGTCAGTCCACGAACTTATTGACTATGGAAGTAATTGAAATGCTGTGTTTAACTTTAGTCTTTTTGAACTTCATCATTGTATTGTGTTATTGCAGCATGCAGAGTACTGTCCTAATTTTTATCGGTGTTAGGTTGCAGACATGCCATCTCCAGATGTAAAACCAGCATTGTTTGGCGTTCTTCATGCTGTTTTACTGCACAAGTGGCAGTACTTTTACCGAACATCAGTATTGCACACATTATCCGAACCAGGAGTGGAAGGAATTGAAAATTGTGAACGGTTTGTGGCCATCCTGCGGGCATATGGCCAGCCATTGTTACAGCCTGATATCAATTTATTTGGGCAAAACCTGCATACTTTAGAAGAGCTTAACTCCAAATGGAAGCTCTACCACAAGGTAATAATATCATCGTTAAGGGGACATGTTCCTCTAAAATGTTGGTTAATTCTTAATGGGATACACAACATCGTATCCCAGAAGACAGGAATCTGCATAACCACCACTGTGAGATCCTCAAGTGCAAAAAGCTTGGAATTCAAAACTGCACTTAAGAGAAAGTCCAGATCCATTGGATTTGATCTTCTCACAGCAGCGACTTTGACAGCCTTGCATTACATAATGTGATGTAATTCAGTGAACTTCTTCAAGACTATACACTTTTACCTCCCAGAAGACAGTAGTGTACGCAGTTACTGCTGTGAGAATCTGAAGGACGAAATTCTAATGGAATACTCAGCATCACATCCCAGAAGACAGCACTCTCAGAGAGTGTCGTTGTTTGTACATTCCTTTTTTAACTCTTTGCCTGGCGAGGGCGTGTTTTAACGCCCGGACGATGCCAGCCGTTCCCTGGCGTTGGCGTGTTTTAACGCTTTGACAATCTCGTCCCTTCTTTGCTCTCTTGGCACTCATCAACCAAAGATATGATAGTTTTTGTGCATGTTTGTAAAGAACCCTTGTAAACTTTGTGGGGGTCTATATTACTGTCAGAACCCTCTGAGAAGGTAAAGGTCAGAAAATATTTCACATTCATTCAGTTTCACCATAGCTTCTTGCAGCAAGTGTCTTCGTGTTCCTACAGACCAGCTGGAAAATGTTGTGAACGAGATTTTTTCTGATGATGATAGTGGCGATGAAATAATGATTCCTGAATTGGATGAAGTTGATAGTGACAATAATACAGTGATAGGCAATGATCCACAAGACAGTAATCATGAACATTTACCTACCACGAGTGCGGTGCCTGACACGCCCATCTCATGAACGTACGGAGACATTGTACCCCCAATACTTCCATTTGCTAATAGTTTCGGGATCAAAATTGATATAACACATAAAATGCATCCCTTTTCATGGATTAAAATTTTTTCTGGATGACGACTTGGTAAATCACATCACAACTGAAACCAATCGCTATGCTCACCAGCACTTCAACGCACATGAGTTAGCTCCTCACTCTCGAAAACACAATTACAATTATGTCACATCAGATGAAATCTGGACATACTTAGGAATTGTGTTCATGACAGGAATCGACAAACGCCCTGAAATTGAAGAATATTTGTCCACTAGGCCCATATTTCACACCCATGGTTTGGACAAAACATGTCTTTGCAGTTGAATAGTTTCATTCTATTCAAAAAGAACACAACAAACGAAAAATACAAGAAGAGAAATTACAGATTCAAAGATTTTATATTGGACTGTGTAGAAAAATGACTGAACCAAACAAACAGTGTGGAGAGGGAGAAAAGTCAAGGAATGAAGTGGATGACGAATCTATTGGGTCAGACTAGAGTGCAGTCACGCCTCCGCCCTCGACCTTGAAAAGACCACCAGTGAAAGAGCCAGCAAATCATCTAGAGGGTGGCTTGAAAATTCACAAAATGGTCCATGTTCCTAACAGTAACAATAAGAAGAATGGTGCCCTAAGAAAGTGTCGCGTGAGTGCTAATCACAAGGTTAGAAAAGAAACAAGTATCATGTGTGCAGGCTGTGGTGTGGCTCTCTGCAAACTTTCATGTTTCAATGTTTATCACACGAAGAAAAACAAATAAAGAGGTGTGGAAAAGCATTTATTGCATAAAATATTGTATTTTAATTAGTTCCTAAAAATTTCGTTTTTAAAAACCAATTTTTGTTGAAGTTGTTTAGGAAAAAGTAACAACATGCATTTTAGCGACATAAGGTTTAAAGGGCCTGCCAGGACAGGGGTGGGATTTAAATACCCTTCGCGCCAGTCAAAGAGTTAAGGGTTTTCTAAGCATGAAATATTAAAATTAGATTATAATTACAAATGTTGATATGAATGGTGTGGTAATGTTTCATTTTATTACAGGCATTGTTCCGTGAAGAGCTGCTACCACAGTTCCTGACAGTTCTTTTAGACTCACTGATCCACAAATCACACACATTACTGGGAGATGAAATTGCTGTGGCTCTGTACAACATGGCAGCTGTAAACTTTATGGCATTCCATGATGCTTTTCTCCCACAGTTCCTTCGTTCAACTGATGGACTTGATGATGGCCAAAGGTCTATCCTCCAAAGAAATTTCCAGAATGACACTGTAAGCTGCACTTAATTATACTTAATGTTAAGGCTTCATGTACTCACAGTCCAGTTTTAATAATATCCAGTATTGGAAAAGAAAATAGAATGAGTTGCAAGAAACACTGTAATTCATAATTGCAACAGCTGATGAAAGACTATTTTGTTTGATCACCTATGGGTAGTGTTACTACCTGCAGCTAGCATGTCAACACACTGTTATCATAGTATCACTCAGGGATGTAACTAATTCACTAATTCTAATGGTACAGTGTCTTTCTTGAGCAGATACGAAGTAATGCACTGGTCAAAAAACTCACTGCTTTTCATTCATTCATCTCTAATCTGTCAAGACGACAGGTCCATAGTCTCTTCCAAAACAGTTCCTCCACTTGATACAATCTAGAGCTTTCTCCTTCAAATGAAAATATCCTCTTCTGTCCCCAAGGTCATCCCTCTTCTCAAAAACCCATCATTACACCTTATCCTGAGCAAGTTAAATCCAGATGAGACAGTGACTACAATAACTAAGCTTTGGGATGGATTACACAAGAATCAGAGTTTGATTACTGGCAGGGTCAGAGATTTTCTCTTCTCTCTACCATATCTGGTCTGGCCCTGGGGCCAAAGGCAATGTGAGCCCTTTCCCCATGCGTAAAGAGGCCAGACTGACTGCTTGCTGTGGGGAGTAACCCCCGGGCTAAAGGCCGCACCATAGCTCAAGCGGTTAGTCAATGGCTTCCCACCATGGCAGCCTGGGTTCAAACCCAGGTCTGGTCAAGTGGGATTTGTGATGGACAAATTGGCACTAGGGTAGGTTTTCTCTGAGTACTTCGGTTTCCCCTGCCATTCCACCAAATTATCCATCATCATAATCACCTAGGATAGGTACAATAGGCCAATCAGTGGCCGCCATGCTGAGTGGACCCAACTGGACTCCACCTCCCCCCCCCCCACTATGCACATTTAAAAAATCCCTGGGCTACAAACAATTGTTACATGACATACTGAAGGTTTAATCCTTTGTGTGATATGTATTTTGTGTTGTTTGTATTAAAGCTTGTATGTAATAAGTGTATAAAGTGTATAATATTGTGATGTGGATGGCGCAACAGGAAGTAGTGGTCATGGGAACTCTGCGGTCTCGCAAGTGACGTCACATACTCCCACTCCTTCCATCATTATGCAACACTCAGTAAACACCCCATCCCCACGGTGATGTAACAGCACTTCCCACAGTGATGTAACAGGGGACACCGTGGTTACTACGCAGCAATAAACAACTCTCGGCAGCATTCCCCAGCAACGCCTGTAAACTTGGCATTTACGCAACAGTGAAGCGATATGGATTTTCCACTGTCCAACTGAGGGTTTATAAGGGAGACTGGAATGCGTAAGGGAGAGTTAAAATGTAGCAGCCGCCAAAGACAGTTGAAGTCTAGCAGTCACTGAGTTCAGTTGCAGCCAGTGAATTGTGAACATGAAGTCATTATAAGTCTAGCAGTTGTGATAAGAAGAGTTTATATGTGATAATCAGTGATAGTTGGTGATAACTGAGAAGGTATTGGGAGTGTGTAATTCAGTAACACTTGTATAGCTTCCGTGTTATAAATACATGACTACTGAAGAGATTATTGTGTGGGGTTCGTAAATGGTCTAAACCCACAACAGTAAGTATTTGTAGTTATGACTTGTAGGTTGTTACATAAACCAATTAACAATCTGAACTGTGTCCTCAGTAGCAAAATAATATATAATAAGTGTAATAAGTATAAGCTGACAGTTCCCTAAGTGTGATCATCACTGCTCTGATAAACTTTATGTAAACAGTTTTAAATGCTGCTTTCATTTCTTTTTTCAGGACCTTCCTTCTTTTACTCAAAACATTCAGCAGTTAGTTAATGATTTGCGGTGCTACCAACTGTGTAATGCAAGCCTCCCAGCAGGCAGTGTGAAGCTGTGAATGTCAAGAATTACAGGAATATATAAATATACTTAAAATTGTAATTAAAGTGCACACAGTGACTGCTGCATACCGCAGGTAAAAATTCATTACTTCAGTCATAGCCAAGCAGAGCAGGTGTGGGCGTGTGTGTGTTTGTATGTCTGGGCCTGCGTACATGTGTAAGCCACGTGAAAGTATCCAAACTCAACTATTTAATTCTTATAATCTGAGAAAAGAGTATATCATATAATTTTTAGGGGATAATGAAACACCACATATACACGGTGCCAAATCCCAGAAGACTGCTTTCTTCATAGTCACCACCATGAAAACCTCAAATCTTACACAATGAAAATTCAGTTTAGGAATGCTGATGGCTGGGCAGTGAATGGTACCTTGTCGCTCCTCTTGTTTTGTGCCAGGTGTTATTCATTATGTTGATGAATTCATTGCATTTTAATGCATTCATGTCTGTAGGTACATATATATTGTATTCGGATACTATATCTTTTCACCAGAAGCTCATAAATACAACAGGGTATATTCACTCACCTTAATGTTTCAGTAAGTTGCAGCTGTTCTCTGTGCTCTACCACGAGCTTCTGTGTTGTGTTGATATCTGATGGAGATACAGTGAAATCCATATTTACTGTTCCTCCAGCTAAGGTTTTCCCTCGTGTAAAATTCAATTTCAGTGACCCCAAATCAGCAATGTTTGTGATAAATTACCTCAATATAAGATTTTCCTCAGTTTAGTGTTCAAATCCACACTTCCCCATGGAAACCTTAAATGGGCATTTCTCTGTATTTCTGACCAGTATCAAAATAAAAGTAAACAGAGTTTTGCTTTATTTTGGAAAAAATAAAGTACTGATGGTCATTCTGTAGGAAAATGTTTCATGATATGAATGGGTTAATGAACAGTTGAAATTGAAAGTGTGGCATTGACTTGAATTAGGCATTACATACATATACTAGTAATAATAATACATTTATATTACCTTTGTACTTATTTTTTTATGGTGGTCCAAGCTACTGGATAGCATCATTAAATAAGCTGTAAGTGGATATATAAAAGGTAAAGTTGTCCTTATGTTTAACTAATTAAGTTATACGCCATGAAGGTGTGGATGTATACATCTATATTTTCTTGACCTTGGCACTAGTTGGAGGTGAGTGGTCAGCTTCATATCCCCCACCCAGTACCCATTGAATAGGAGGTTGGGTGGACACTAGAGGTGGTCTGGATGATGTGCAGAAGAGAAAATTCTTGACCCTACAGGGACTCAAACTCCAACTCCTTGGTTTTCCAGTCTGTAGCCAGTCCCTATGCAGACTATGTTATCCCAGCTCCCAGTGGATCTATATATATACAGGGCTTGAGGTAGGGCGGGATGTGGTGGGATGGCATCCCGGTTCTTTTCTAACTGGCTTAAAAGCATCCCGTTACTTCTTTGGCAGTAAATGCAATGTACAATACCTTTTTTGTTATCTGTTTCATTGTTGTACAGGCTACTCCCCTGCATCGTCTAACTAAATTTTGCTTTCGTATGGTACTGTTTGAAGCACCCGAGAATGCACAGTCCCACATCACATTTCTTGCACTTCGTCTGAACA